TTATAATTTTGTTACAATCTGAAGGTTTACCGTAATTTACCTGGAACGCATACACGCAACGATATTCCTTCAACAGCACGCCATTTTCAGCGGGTCCTGTAAACATGTACATTGCAGGCTCTTATTTCGTTTTGATTTGCCGCTGACAGTCCCGCCAGCATGCTGAGGACTTTTCCCGCGTTTATGACCCGCGTTACGGCCCTCACAGTACACGTGTTCTTCTTTAGTTAGTCAATTATGTCGGATGAAAGCGACTTAAATTGTTTCAAAGGTCACATTTTAAACGAAGAAATCGACCGAGCGGTTTTAGTTTTAAAAAAAAAGATTTACATGTAAAATTAATCGGGTTCCAAGTGGGTTGCGAATGTACGTATACATGAAAACGAGGTTTAGCAAACAAAGATGGCGGAATGTCGGCATGGCACGTATCGTCGTATTGAATGATTCAGTCCTTCAGGGTTCTTTGAATAACTGCACTGTAGTAACACCCCTGATACTTGAGATGTAAAGCTTAATAATTATATAAAAGAATTCGTTACTTGTTTTGTCATCAGTGGAAAACCTGCAAAAGGTAAAACTAAAGGAATTTAGTTACGTAACGTAACCTATAACCATGTCGGATGTCCGCCCAGTACAAATGTGACCCTCCACAGGAATTTGATGCTAAAGGTGAAAGCACGCTCACGACACGCTTGCACGACACGCTTAGATCACGGATATGCGCATATTAAATTGAAAAAATAAAGACGGACACACTTGCCTTTGTTTTGCTAGACCTTTTGTCTTTTTGTAGCGTGACATATGTCACGGCAAGTGTGCGAATTATAGCACGCTTAGCGTGCAATTTGGGTAAGACACGCTGAACACGCTTGATTACTAAAACTGCTAAGATGATAAAAATGGCTTGGGTTTTCAGCGGATTTAATCAGCATTAATAACTGGTCAAAGGGAATGAAATATACCAGTTGAGACTGTTTTGGAATTTGATCTTAACCGGAGCCATTTGAAAATCACCACTTAATGGTCGTCTAGCCTGGAATTAACGCGAGATCAGTGTAAACCAAATTATTCCTCCGGCTGTCGGCTGTTGACCAGAATCGCAAAGAGGCCTGGTAGTGCATGCGAGGCACTGAAGTTATGTCGCCTGAAAATTATAGTTATGCCACCGGAATATTTATTAGCAGTAATGCACAGAGAAATGAAGTTGAATAAATTAGTTTAATATATTTCGTTAAGCCATGCTGAGACGAACGAAGGTAATTAAATCGGAGAAACAAAAACTCCCTAGAATTTCTATAGGTTGAGGAAGGCTAAACATTTCTAGATGAACGTTCCATGCATGTACAATTTTCGAAGTTTCTCTAATAAATTCCTTACGACTTTTCTTAAGTTTAAATTTTTCCATTTCACTCCCCAGGTTAAGCTATTTTTCGTAGAGAAAGGAATCCTAAAATTTTCGGAACCGAAAATACGATAAAATTCTCACTTCCCTAAAACTTTCAATTGGAAGCTAAATTTTTCGGGAAAATAATGCTGAAGCCCTTGTAATTTCGAAAGACTAAAGTTGTCCTAAGATGCTAGGATGCATTTAGGAGGAAATCGCCGTTAGGTGCCCCTGACGAACGAAGCGCTATCAATCATAATTTTTTGTGAAGATATCTCGTTACGCTATGCTAAGACGAATCAAGCGCTGAAAACGTGTACTATATCTCGTTCTTCACAGGACGAAAAAAACAAGAATCTGTAAACTAAAAATCGCAGCGATCGTCGAGAAAGTGACTTAAGTCCGAAAGATCACTGTTTCTGAGAAAATTGCAAATGTGTTTTAAATTAAGGAAAGTTAGGATAACCTTTGCACAGCTTCGTCAGTAAACAATTCTGGAAAGAACTTTGATTTAGCAATGCTAATAAAGTTCTACCCATAAATCCAGTAGGTCCCACCGTCCACGGTTTATACTTTTCAAGCGACAACGTTTTTTCAATCAGATACCATCGCGGCGATCGCTGAGGTAGAACTTTTTCTTTCTCGATAGTTACCAAAAGAGGATGCCGTTCATAATCATTTACGGTTCCTTTTTGTAGAGGAAATTTATTTAGCTTATAGATAACACGCCTTGCGTGCTTTTGCGCACACTGAAAGCGTGTTGTGCTTTCTCGCACGGAGCTTTTGTTTGAAAACTTTAACACGCTCTTTTGTTCGACTTGCTCACGCTTAATTGTCTTAAGTGTGTCCTCTGAAACAAAAGAAATTGCTAATGAGGCAAGATTGCAAGCGTGCTAAAGCGTGTTAAAATAAATTCTTTTGTTTTAAAGTGAAAGCGTGTCGTGCGCGTGCTTTCACCTTTAGCATTAAAATCCTGTGGAGGGTCACATTAATGTTATTTCTATTTTGCAGAGATTGGAGGCATTTAAGAACTGCAGTTTCCTGCTGTAATATCTGTTCACGATTTGGAAATCTATCGCTTTGACTAAAATAACAGACACTAATTTATGTGCCTTAACGCAGGTTCAACTTGATCGTTTAGATGAACTGGTGTTGTCCGAGACGCTAAACGTTCTGTACTATTAAGTCTCGAAATGACATGAAAGCTGTTGAAAGAATGAAAATTAAAGCGTTACTCATTTAAAAGCCTACTTATTTCTTGATTAAATGGCCTCAATTAATTTCGCGACTAACATTTTCAAAGTTGCGACCAAATTTTGATAACTAGTCGCAAATTTGCGACCAGACATTTTTTTTAATTTCGAGCCCTGCTTTTTGAGATTTTCTCACCACTCACTCTTTTGACCTAATTTTTTTTATTATCTTTTTTATGAAAGTGTTCTTTTTCAAGTCAAACTGTATTGTTATTCAAGATCAAGATATGTATTGTATTTATGGTACTCTTAATTTTATCTCAAATTGAATTTAATGCTGTAAGAAGTGGTGGTGTAAATAAATAAACTAAATATGAGTTTGAAACCGAGAGCAAAGTACGTGAAAGAGATGTTCATTTGTTTATTCATTTGTTTGTTTGTTTTATTATTTTTTACACTATAAGGAGTTCCTTAAATGTATTCCTTGAGGACTAGAGCAAACACTAAGCTAAAATATTTGTGCATAATCTGTTGTGAAACTGACTTAAGCAAGGTATAGAAATCGTTTTCCATGTTTGCATTTTCCTGCTAGCAGAGGTCTCTCACTTTGTCTTGTCATGAGAGATGTCTGCTTAAACAGGGAATATTATTGCATTACATAAACACGAGAGGGTTGGGAGAATTTGAGACAATGTAAACTCCATGAGTGTTATAAACTTGCTATACAAATACAGGAAAGAAAATTGCTATTGCTTTTATAAATAACTTCCATGAGAAAAAACGCAAAACTCTTTGTTATGGCACTGACTAAAAGAGAAATTCTTTCCAGTCAGCAGTCACGAAGTCTTGTACACAAAGTCCTTGTGTAGCTATTTTGGGTTGAAAGTGGTGAAAAATGGATTGAAATGAAGGAAGCATGGATGTAAAATCTTGAAATTTTCTCATCTGCACTTCGCCTTGCGCTTAACTAAGTTGCCAAAAACTTGCAAATAATGATGTATACAGTTTTTTCAAGAAAGGTTGTCGCCAAAAATGTGCATGCAACAATCTGAAAGGTAATATGGGATATGATCAACACACTGTTCCTAACAACTGTAGCTGTCAAACATACTTTTGTTGCTTTCCTTTAGCACTCGCAAACATATGTCCATGGCCTCCCTTGCCATTCTTTCAAATTTCTTTGAAGAACGTGCACTCAAAACCACCCACAATACCTTTCGGGATATTATCGCATGCACTTCTTCCGACAACCTTTATCGAAATAGCTGTATATATTACAGTCAAACCAGGTCAAGCATGCCCCCCAAGAAGCCATTAATGAATTTATTATTCAAAAGTTGAATCCGTTGCTAGTTGTAGATTTCAGAGTGATCTCTGCATTCTTGCATGTGTAATGAGCCGTGAATTCACACGCGAGGCAGTTATGAAATTTCTACCAGTTCCATTTTCCTAAAATTGATGTAAATGTCTTCTAAGAAGCTAATAATCCATTCAAAGATTTCCAATCTGACCAAATACAGAGAAGTTGTTGTAAAATATTCACTGCTCATTATCCATGCAGAAATGGCGCTTTGAAATTTGACACCAGTTATGGGAACGACTAACGGGTTCATTTTTCAAATAATCAATTCATTAATAGAATCTTGGGGGGGGGGGGGTATGCTTGACTTGGTTTGACTATAACAGTGCTGTCAAATAAAGCAATATCTGAATTTTGAAAAACCAGTTTGGTGGGGTTTACCTTGTATCAATAAAATTTTGATGAGAAGTTATTTCTCTAATGTACATCAGGAAAGCTGGTCATCAAAGACTTTATCGTCATTATTTCCAGAAGACTCCCATATGCTGTGTATTCTGGGAGGCTTAGAACTATTGTGTGGTTGTTGATTGATGCTTTTGGACCTGACATGCTTGGTGGACTCAAACTCTCATTTTAATTAAAGTAAATATTTTGAAAGAAGCACCAACATCTTAATTCATACCCAGCAATTTACAGTTTTTTTACAAAATAGAAATCAATATTTATTTATTATAATAATTAATAGAGTACAGGCTTCCCATAATAACAGAGAGGGCTAAAAGGATAGGGCAGCCGTTATAATGTAGGTGATTAAATAATATTCTCACTGGGGGCCATCACGCACAAACGCTCCCTGTGCCCATGGGACCCGTGCATTTAAATTCCGGCGCATCTGTGGATTCACGGGGGAACTCGTTGTGCATATATTTGTGAGTTTAGTATAAATTGGCCTGTTTCATGCTGTTTATTCCTCTCTTTGTTAAAACGGACACCTGCAGACATCTAGTCTCCGATTTTAAAAGCAATAACTGATAATAATGTTTAGTTTACTAACTACACATGTCTTTTTTTATCATTTTAGTTATGTAATAAAAAGGACAAGTCTGCTCTAATAGTCTTAAACATGGAGGATTATTCCAGTACTAAATTGAAAGCTAAATACTTAAAATACTATTATGGGGTAGCTACTTTGGATCTGGTTGGAGAGGGACTATCCAGGGTACCTGATGCAGTCATTGAACTGAGTGAAGTGCAGGAACTTAGTCTTCGGAAAAATAAACTGACTAAGTTGCCAACAAGTATTAACAAGCTGAACAGGCTTCAATGGCTGAACTTGGATGGAAACAATCTTACTGAATTACCTGCTGAGATTGGTGACCTAAAGGAGCTGAAGGAGCTCAGAGTGAGTAACAACCAGTTGGTTGGTTTACCTACCAGTATTCAAAAGCTGAACAGGCTTTCACAGCTTTACTTGGAAGGAAACAATCTTACTGAATTACCTGCTGAGATTGGTGACCTAAAGGAGCTGAGTTGGCTGAGTGTGACTAACAACCAGTTGGTTGGTTTACCTACCAGTATTCAAAAGCTGAACAGGCTTAGCAGGCTGTACTTGGATGGAAACAATCTTACTGAATTACCTGCTGAGATTGGTGACCTAAAGGAGCTGTTGCAGCTGAGTGTGAGTGGTAACCCTTTAACTGTTGATGCTATAAAGTTTGCTCTAAAGTTGGAGAAAAGAGGACTGTACACTGATATTGCAGGTGAGGACAAATAAAGGCTAAGTTAAATTGAACCCTTATTACAGTAATAACAAATGAACTGCTAAAAATCTTCCTCACAAACATAAATCAAGATTGAAACATCTAAATAACGACAGGAGACCCAAGGAACCACAGGAGACCCAACGATTAGTGTGCTGCTCGACTTAGGGCTCGCAGCAATTTTAGCGATCACAGACAGTACACGCGTCGTCCAATTTAGTTAGATGTAGTATGGAGTTTCAACTCAAACAAGTATGTTCTCTAAGGAAAAAGACCACAGAATCTTTTTATTGTTTTTTGAAAACTTTACTTTGACCACAAGAAGTGATATTTTATTTCATCTATTTAATCTTGAAAAATATTTGATTCACGCGCCATTTTGACTGACTGCTGTGATCTAAGACCGAAAACAAGGAATATCAGTAAGTTCGCACCCTAGTGAATTAGGCCAATACAAGTTCGCCCCCTACTTTCTGAGTTCACCACGCATTGGTATACTCCAAATTTGAGTTAAATCACCCACTTACAGCAGACATTTATTTCAATCATACCTGTGAATTGGATTGGGTTATTGGAGAGAAGGTAATGGTAGGTCGGTGGCAATTGGTGTCTCGAAATCTAAGACCTAAAAGACCTTGAAAAAAACCTCTATGAAAACAGAATCTCCTTACAAGTTGCTTAATCAAAGAGTAAAGTAAAATACCGGTAGAGTCAAACTCACTGGCTTGAAAAAACATGTTAAGTGGCACGGGACAAGGAACAATTATTGAGTCGCCGTCATGACATGAATGAAAATTCAATGAAACATTTACAACTGCAAGTTGCCGCCAAGTTGAGATTGATTTGTTGGAAGCTAACGAATATATAGCTTCGCAAAGTCGCTAAATTTTACCGACGTAAAACACTTTGTCTCACTAACTGCTGGTTTCCTTTAATTTCCTTCCATTTTGAAACTTCGATCTTAAATAAAGTAGTTTTCCAGGTCTGATAGTTCTGTGATTTTCATGAAAAGGCCCTTTGAGAGAGTTCACCTTTCACCGTAACCAAGAAACAATCAACTTAATTCCTGCTGACAAAAATAAACGTACGCCTGCAATCAATTGAAAGCTAGTAACTTTCATACGTACACTATTCTATAATTTTATTTATTTCTACATTTTTTGCATATACGTACTTTTTTTGTAATTAATTTTCAAGTGCCTATGTAATTAAAGTAATTTGTTTTATTTTTTATATTTTATAAGTTATTTTTTTTATCGTGCATTTGATTATATGTAATCTACATAGAAACATTGATGTGCACTAAAATATTGACTTTCAGATAGGTTGCAGGTACCCACATTAGCTACAAAAGGGTGCCATTTCACATTGGCGCCTGTGATGTAGATCTTCGGACGGTACGACGGGTAGACGTACCATCACGTGACTACCAAAATGTCTCCGTTATAATTCTCTGCATGTAGCAGCTCTCTTAACCCTAAAAGCCAACTGGTTCGGTACCCTAACTGTGAAATAATGGGAAATAATGATAAACAATGATCGATGTGGTTTTGTTTTCGGCGACCAATGAGGAAACACCTCACGAACAACTCCTACATTTACTCACTGTTAATAGTTTTAATATTGAAAATCAGACAATTAAGAAGAAAAAAGCAAGCACTAAAAATCTTAAGACAAAAGTATTTGTTCTCATTGAAAACTAAAACATTCAGACCAAAAGATAACTGGCAGTTAATAATAATTTTTTTTGAAAACCTCGAATCAAAATTAAACTGCACAAAGTTAGCTGCTTTATGTTGCTTATACTAAAGGCGACAAATTACATATAAATAAAACAAGAAAAAGCGAAGCAGCATTTGTTAATGCCCATCCATATAAATCATATGTTTAATGTAAATGAAATCATCCAACTTGATAAAACAAAACGTAAACTACATTAATTTGGAAGAAGGAGAAATCTAACACCAGAAAGCTCAGAAAAAATTCCGATCTCTAGCCTAGAATCGAACTCACGACCCTCCAAAGGTAACGATAACAGTTAAAAAGTACAGTAACTTTCAATTCACTTACCTTCTATGGTAAGATTTCTTTAATTACGTTATTGATTGTTAGCATTAATCTGAGTAGCAGCTGCTAGTAGTCGGTAAACACTGAATTATTTTAACAACATTACTGTGGGTAAAAAGATCATCAAGACTAAACTTGTACATTGCAGTGCGGACACTCAAACCGGGACACCTGGAAGAAGATTTTCCAATCACAAAGTTTTCTCAAAATAAAAGATTCTCATGTGTTTTTGCAGACAGACCAATAAAATTCAAGTATTCAACTATGCATCCGTTGAAATTTTTAAAAGCGTTTGAACTGACCTGACCTCTTAGGAAACAGTCCTCAAATTGATGGATGTTGGTGCATGGCCCGTATGAAAAAAAATATATATTGAGAATCTTCTTTTCAGAAAACGTTGTGAACAAAGCATGCGGAGTTGCAGTTGTATTTGCCCTTGAAGGGTTTAGTGAGTTGTGAAACTGTGGCTCCATGATCTGCAGGTTACCCGTTGGTTCCAATAAACAAAGACTGACGTGACAAGTCAAAAAAACATTTACGAGGGTCATGTCTGACACATGATTTAAAAATTTTTTATTCGTTGTAGCTCCCAAGGAAATAGAAGCACGAGGACAAAGAGCGCGGCTTGTTTATCAACGTGCTCTTAGAGATGGAGCTGTTAGTGTTCAGCGTTCTCGGATATTGCTTATTGGTCAGGATAGGGCAGGAAAAACAAGCTTGAAAAAATCTCTCATCGGTCTGCCATTTAATCGTAACGAAAATAGTACTGAAGGAATTGAAGTGGATCCGTCAATCTTTCAAGTGGATGCCGACGAAGTTAAGAACTGGCAACCCATTGATAAGAGTGAACGAGGGTTGTTGGGTTGTTCTAAAGATGTGGCACAGATGGTGGTGGAAAAGCTTTGGGTTCAGAAAGAGGAAGAAGAGGCAAAAATACACGACATTGACCAGCTTAAAAATGAAAATTACAGGAGTGGAACAAAGGCGGATGATGCTGATGGTGGAAAGAGAGACGATTCATTTGTGAACCAGGTTTGTTTCCAGTTAAATCTTGGCTTTTGTATTGTACTTTAATCAAGTAATGCTTATAGCAGAAAAAGGTGTCCCACTTACCCTCACGAAAATGGGTTTAAAATAGCACCACTCAATTAAGTTAAGCCGTGGTCGGCAGGGTTCGAAACTGGATGGCTAAAATTATATTGGCCGCCGGATGAAAAAAGAAGATAAAAATCAAACAGTTACCGCGGGTTCGCTGGCTTTAACGTCCGAAGTAAGAAGCCGAAACCAGTCTTTGATCCATCGATGGGAAAATTGCCAAGTTGATTTTGGGTTGTCCTCGGTGTGACATGAGTTCCAAGGAAGTTCCAGGGTCGATTTTTGAGAAGAAAGCAAGGTTTCGACTGTAAAAAGCCGAACTGAAAGGCACCTCCTACAAGCATAGCTGGTCGGCAGAAGCAAATTCGTCTGCTAAGTGAGAAGCACGGAAAAATTTTTATTGAATGTCTCGATTTTCGTTCTCCTTCTAAAGCTATAGTCTAAATTGCCTCAATTGTCTTTGTGAAAAAAACTTCTGCCGTCGAAATTCATCGCTTGATGATCGATGTTATTGCAGACCGCCAGCAAGAGATACAAGGCATTTACCGTAAATGACCTAATAAGCGCCCAGGGCGTCTATCTAAGTTTAGGGGTCTAAGCGGGGACGTTTAATAGATAGGCTTCAGGCGTGTATTCTTAATCCTCAAATCCCAACATCGATGTCGGAATCCTCGCTCGGGGTTATTATGTTATGCCTTCGCTAGTTTATCCTTACTTTGAACTTGACATTGAACAAGATGAAATACACAAAGCTTTGTTTATTATAAAAGCAAGGAGCTGAACGGAATGAAAGATTTTGCTCCCTTTTTCTTAATCGTAGTATTTGGTAGTAATTCTCATAGGGGGCGTCTTGAGATTAATTTTAACAGCGTAGAGGGGGCGTTTATTATATAAGAGGCTTAAGAGGCGTTTTATTTGGAAGTGGGTATCTATGAGGTCATTTACGGTAGCCAAGTTAACAATTAACATTCTGCCTCGCCGTGCGATCCGCGCACGATGCCAATGTAGACAATTTTTTTTATCCTTCGCTACGCGAGGAATTAGCAGATTAGGCATGATGTTAGATAACAATAAAATGTTATTGTTACTCAATTTCAACGTTTCAAATTATATTATTTGCATCATTCATTTAATACCGTAAATACAAATCGGAATATATTTGAAACCGCATATTAATTATTATCATCGTTTTTTTTTTGCACGAGTGGACTTTCCGTTCACATGAAACCAATGAACCCGCTCACCGAAACCGCATCTTTTTTAAACTGCTCTTCCCAATATTTGTTTGCAGTGCACTATGGGAATAGCTTAGTTTATGCCTTCGCCGAGATTTCTATCGAGCAAAAAAACACCCAAGACATTTTTTATACTTTGTACGCAAATTTTTGTCCTCACCAAGCATCAAACAGGTTTTTTCTGAATAGATGTGTGTGCAGGTTTGAATCTGTTTGGTTGATGCCCATCTCCCCAATGATAATGTCTAGATGTTTGAGGTTATCCACCCGTTTTTTCAATTTTGGATGAATAGTTTACAGTCTTATCATGTTTCGCTAAAATTCCTGATACAGGTCCCCGATCCAAAAGTAGAAAGTGTCAGTGAAGTGACATCAGCAGAGCCTGAACATGAGTTAATGATTGATACTACTTCACCTCCAGACGAGATCACAAAGCGCGCTGAAGAGTTGATAAAGTATGTAAAAGGTAAAAAACGAGTCACCGAAAAATCTGTTGGTAGTATTGAACTGTGGGATTTTGCTGGACAACAGCTGTACTATGCATCTCATCCTGTATTTTTAACATCACGTGCAATATATATCTTGGTGTGCAACCTCAGCAAATCATTGCATGACACTGCCCAACCCTGTGTGAGACAAGGAAATCATAACTTCACGTTGGACAACCCAAACGGGGAAACAAATTTGGAGAATCTGCTGTCTTGGTTGTCCACAGTGCATAGCATCACACAGATGAGAGGAGAAGTCTGTGATGATGCAGAGGGAAAGCTGCCTCATCTGCGTCCCCCTGTGATCATTGTAGGCACCCATGCTGACAAACCGTTTGAAGACATTGCAACAATGAAGACAAAAATGCAGAAGGCAATTGCTGGTAAGGACTATGAAGGACATGTGGTGCGGCCCATCTTTAGCATTGACAACACTGCAAAATTAATTCAGAGGAGGTTGGAAAATGTTTTCAGAAAAGATAAAAACATTGATGGCATCCAAGAGCTAAGAGACAAAATCATGGAAGTGTTGAGGCAGGAGCCATACATAAGGGAAAGGATACCTGTGAGGTAAATAGATTGAATCATTGAACACAGATGTCTTTTGCTGAGAATTTACGCGATGATTAAGGGTTGAGGTTTGGCAGCATTAAAACTGCTAGTGGGCATACATATACACCGTGGGGCTTTGGTCCAGTCCTCATAGCATTTTGCTTGCGCGCATGTCCAAAGAATTTTAAGTTTTACCGTAAATATTTGGCTACTTAGGGATGTAAAATCCTCGTATAAGATACCTAGAGGCTGCCCGCATCGTAAGTCTTTCACGTAGGTTGAAGGGTAGTCTAACGATATTGTCAGTAATAGGAAAAAACACGTAAACGCGTAAAACAAGCGAAAGATACCAGAAAGATTACGTGCGTCTCCCAAAAAAGTCTTTCCTCAAGCTTTCTAATATGATATGTAGGCCTTCTCTTTTAAGATTTAATTTATTCCAATGCATTGGTTTACCCAAGAACAAAGGCAAATAAAATTTAAAACAAGGATAATTAAGGATCATAGAGTCTTTCCAGAACATTTAATAAGGTCTATTTAATATAGTTGTTTTTGTGAAATACCATCAAAGTGGACAAAGTGATCAGGGTAACAAGCAGCCTTTGACGCTCAATATTTTGGGGTGGGGAGGGGGGGGGGGGGGATCTTTACTATGGTGGAAAATCTGGTGAGAAAACATTTAAGGTCATTTTATATTCCAAACGAAAGGAGGGAAAGTCGCTAAAAAAAAAAAAATAATAATAATTGTCAAGTTTTTCCTTGCTGTTATATGGGCGAGTTCTTCTTTTATAAACCGTGGTGTCATTTATTTTTCGCGGTTCCATTTTGATCCCTTTTAACCTTTTTTAATGATGTAATAGAAACAAGAAACCTCTTTTTCTCCTCCTTTAGCCCATACACCCCCAGACTCACTGTTGTGACCATTTATACAGATTGTAACCGCTTCATTTAGTTTTATAGCAATAGTTAGTGCACAATCTCTGTCCTCTGCACGAACCGTTCTTTTTTTTTTCGAGGGGAGGTTGGGGTGAAATGGACTTGCTCTTTCTGGGATTCCTTAGCTTCAATTATTTTTTTGACGGTACTTTTGGGACTTTTTAGTTTACATTCGGGGTCCATTACTTTTGGAAATTTGCGGTTGGTGGCCACAATTTATTCATTAAGCCCTAATACCTAATGGTTGCCAATTAACACAGGATTGGTAGAATTTATTTAGCTTCTGTGTTTATGTTTACCTTCCTGTTTTACACTGCGTGCAAACTTCCGCTCATGAATCGCTTCAACTGTACTTACGATGACACGAATACTTTCATTCATCTTTTTATAATCTAGGTGGCTGATCTTTGAGAAGGTCCTCAATGCTTTGCTGTCCAAGAAAGTTTACCATTTGAACTTGAGGGAACTTCAAACCTATGTAAGGGAAAACTGCTTTATAAATGACGAGGAAGAGTTTACTACCATGGTGGATTTCTACCATGACCTGGGGATAATTATCAAGCATTGCAGCACAGTCATTGTGAGCGCTGAGTGGTTAATAGACCTGTTCAAGCAGCTGATAACCATTCCACCATTTGATAAAACGGTAAGGTCCGAAATACGTTCGTTAAGTGTTTTCGAACCATTGCAGCAGCTTTCTCTTCTAGCTCTTTTTATTTATTTATTTGACACACAGTAGTAAAAATACAACAACAAAAATGTAAGATAGGTAGCAAAAGGGAAGTGGCGAGGAGGAGACCTATTCGAGATTAGGCCTCCTCGAACTACTGGCTTTAGTTGCTTACATCAATTCAAACAAAAGATGGCGTACAGTCTAATTAAAGTTCAAAAATTAATGTAACCTTTAAAATGTTCTTAAAGGAAGAAAGGGATCGAGAGTTAATAACTTCGTTGTCAAGACAACTCAAAAACCTTGGGATCTTAAAAAAAGGAAATTTCTTAGTGTTTAGTGTTCGAGTCTGTCTAGGAATTTGTATAGTATTGTTACAACATTGGTATTGATATTGTTTTAAGAAAAATTGTTATGTAACATGATTATATTGGTAACGATGGCCATTTAATTCAGTATATTGCATTCAACTTGCAAAACAACTTCTTATTCAGTCCAGTGCTAAACCACGAATACCGCGGATATTCGAGTTTATCAAAAATAATGGCGTAATCTACGGCGTCAACTGCTTTTGAGAGGTCAAGAAAAAAAAAGACATCACCTGAAAAAACCTTATAATCACTCTACATTTTATTACTCAGGAACCCAAGGTTTCCATCCTCTGGCAGGAAGTTAAAGAAAGTGGTGTGCTCAGCATGCAGCTGCTTCATCATGTGTTTGCTAAGTTTCTTCTGAAGGGCGCTGCAAAGGATGACATTCTGGACCTGATGGAACAATTTGGTTTGATTGCAAAGTTTTCACCTTCTAAAACTGATGAAAAGTATTTTGTGCCATGCCAGCTCAGAATGCCACCTGATCCCATTTGTGCCATGGTACCCTCAAGCTCAGACCCTTGTCCTCTTTATGTTTACTTTGTTACTGGTTCTGTCCCTCATGGCCTGTTCACACGGCTTGTTTCTCGGCTTGTCAGGTGGTGTTCTGACGCTGGTCCAGCTCAGCCCCCTACCCTATATCAAAATGGAGCATGGTTCGTCATTGGGAGGAAAATTGTCCATGATTTAGTTTTTATTTGTAAGAAGCAGTTCATAAAGTTTTTCGTCAAGCAAAAATCCCAACGTCAGAAGATTTCAGTGGAGGACACAAATGAGGTAGCGGTGCAGGTGCGCGAGTTTGTGGAGGTAACTCTACAAACTTTGTCTCATGATCTTCTGTATTTGCGTGGAGTGCAGTTCGAGATTCGGGTGGCCTGCCCATACTGTCAGCTGGAAAAGTGCTCAGGTCATAATCTGATGGGTTGTACTCATGACGACTGTTTTCACCTCCTGGAGTTAAAACAAGGTGACCCACTGATTTGTAAAAAGAAACCATCAGAGGAGTTACTTAAGGTTAGGGGACAGGAAAAATGGTTCTTACAGGTACCAAGTGAGGTACGTAGTAATAAAATTCAGTCTCTAGTAAAATGCGCTTCATTTGTATAAACTAAAATAGAATCATACTATAGGGGAAGTTAGATACCCTCAAGTATTATTTTAATAAATGTGTAGTCGTCTATCAATTTTTTAAGCTCCAACATAATCTTTTCATGCAAGTTATTAGATTACAGGATGATGTATAATGTATACCTCTTATGTGGCCTAGAACATGAATCCTCGTAGTGTGGGAAAAAGAGGAAAGAGGAAATGACTGGAAGGAATAAAGTGAAATTAAGTGAGTTAATAACGTCAATTGGCGCCTTATAAGGACTCAAACCGGCTGATACTAGAAGCTCTTAACAATTGACATTATTATTGACGAATAATAATGATAATTATTAATGATCCTCTCCTCTTGTGGGGTTATTAAGGGAGTTAGCTATTTACAAGCTTGACCGAGGATTTGAGCTCGGGACTGCTAAGAACAAATCCAGTAAGCGGTCAAGGCGGGACTTAAACTCGGAGCCTCCGAATTACATTCAACACCCTTTATAGCGGACACTGTAGGGACCTCGAATTCGTGTCCTGATTAGCGAGAGTCCTTAATAGCGGGAGTTTATTTCAGTCAAACGTCTGTAATTTGTTTTTGCCGGAGATTTAGCTACTGTCCGTGTTATCGGGGTGTCAGTTATAGCGGGGGTGTCCGCAAGGCGAGAGTTGACTGTACAAGTCCAGCGCCCTAACCAATCGATCACGCCGCCTCCTTAAGAATGGTTAGGTTTTAAACGTCAGCCTTTGAATCTCTGTTTTAAACAGTGGATGCGCAAAAGTTAGATCTTTACAGTGTCTTCAAACATGGGAAATGATAGTTTTAATCGTTTTGTATCGAGTTTTGTAAGTTTTAGCATCAACGGTTTAAAAGAAAACGCCGAAAATTTAAATAACTACCCAATTCTGAGAAGAAAAGTAGAGCTTTATTTGTTTCTGTCAACTCACCGTGAATGCGAAAGTTTTCTTTGTCGTTTCTTGCAAATGCTGTCAACAGCGGCTACGATCAAGATGAGCGTCGTTTATCTCCAATGTTCTTTGCCTTGTTAACTTACTGGCACGTAAAATTTTCGAAAATATTTGTCTTCCTCTTTTCTCCATAAATTAACTTCTATTAATAGGCAAAATTGGTCTTGCGAGAAAATCCCGAAATCACAAAACATGACAAAAGGACCTCGTTATCCTCTCTAGTGGTAAACATAGCTTCGAGTGTACAAAAAGTCAGTTATAGTAAACCACTTCACAATAAATCACGCTGTTTAAACACCATGAAGTCTTTTCTTGCCTTCAAAGTCATCAGCACTTGGATATTCGTGTATTTTCAAAAAGGCTTTACTATGAAACTTTAGCAAAACACCCAGTTCACGACAGCGATTTTGTTCTGCTTTGTATTCACCGCCTAGCGCGGTGAATATTTAACAATTATTCCTCGAGCCCAAATGGGCTCTGAGTTAATAGCTACTCAGAGGGCATGAGGGCGAGAGGAATAATTGTTTTACTAAAATCCAACTAGTTGATCAGAAATATAGAGAATAAAGCACTTTATCTAGTTAAAGCTAGACTTTAATCCTTTTTTGCCGCCAAAAAGCCCGCGCTTTTCGCTGCTAGTGGGCTATAACATATAGCCTAGTAGTAGCTCAACCAATCAGAACGCAGCATTGATGATAACCACTAGTTGGATTTTACTAAAACGTCATAGTCCGAGATAGCTAACCAATCAGATTGCTTGAATTACCAAGATCACTGAGTGTGTTAAATAGTCAATTCTTCAATGCGCGTTTTGTTTCCCTTACAGGAGGTGCATACTCCATCACCTGATACTGCACAAACTCACCCAGGGCCTTCAATCTTGAAAGTTGCTCTTCTGGCCAATGAATGGGGGTCATCTAGGGGTGGCTTGTCAACAATAAACAGAACACTTGCCATACATTTGGCAAAACACGCAAAAGTAGAAGTTACAATTCTTGTACCTGAATTTGAGTGTGACGAAAAAGACAAGAGAACTGCCAGAAGTTACAACATTGCCATTAAGGAAGTACAGCGTCGCCCTGCCGTCAGTGATCCTCTTGACTGGTTGAGCTTTCCACCAAAAGACCTTGACATTCAAGTTGTGATTGGTCATGGTGCAAAGCTCGGTAGACAAGCGCAATTTATCCGAGAGTCTCATTGTTGCAAGTGGATGCAGGTTGTGCACACTGAGCCTGAAGAGCTGGCAATGCATAAGAACTATGCTAACGCCATTGCCAAAGGGGAAGGAAAGAACAGAGCTGAAGTTGAATTGTGCCAAATTGCAGATCTCGTTGTGACAGTTGGACCCAAGCTGAAGGAAGCTTTCGCATCCAAACTTTGTTCATCTCATCGAGATGTCTTTCAGTTGATACCAGGTTCCTTTGTAGAGTTTTCAGAGACTCAACATGCTAAACAAGATAGAGCGACTTTTAAAGTGTTAACCTTTGGCCGCGGTGATTTTGAAGACTTCAGTCTCAAAGGATATGACATTGCTGCTAAAGCCATTGTTGAACTGCAGGATAGTTCTTACCGTCTTCTGTTTGTTGGTGCTCCTGATGGAAAGCAGGATGAAGTGGCAGAAATCTTACTTCAGACTGGCATTTCAAAGAACCAGCTGACTGTAAGGTCATTTGTACAAAGCAAGGAAAGATTGAAAGAGTTGTTTTGCGAAGTCGATGTGGCCATCATGCCTTCAAGAACTGAAGGATTTGGGTTGACAGCACTGGAAGCGATGTCAGCTGGTCTTCCCATTCTGGTTAGTGGAAACTCCGGATTCGGAGAAACACTGCGTGTTCTTACTGAGGGCAAGTCGGTTGTGATCGATTCTGATGACTCCAAGGAATGGGCAAAGGCAATTGGTGCTATCCGTCAAAAACCTAGGATACAACGGCTTGAGGAAATCCGAAGAGTGCGAGAAGATTATGAAGAGAAGTTCAGTTGGAAACGACAGTGCCTGCTGCTTGTTGAAAAGATGTGGAAGATGGTTTATGGTAAGTAATCAAACTTATCTTAAATTAACTAATAAATTTTAATTAATAATTAAACATTGTAGTGTGCAAATTCATACTGTTATGTTTGGACTGACTGGCCGGCAGCAAATAGCAACACACCAGCTCACTTGAAATGTTATCTCAAGGTACATGGTGGTCGGCTGTTAGGCCAGTCACTTATTTGACGTTCTACGGCGTTACCATCGTTACATTACTCCTGTGTGGGTGTACGACTTGAGAGGTCTCCTGCTGTTACATAAAAAAGAAACAAGAAATAACTCGATTCACCTTAGGCAACCGATATCAAGACAAAGTCACCACTGACCTTGCGTTCCTCGTGGGTTAGGCACCTTACAGTTACACTTTCATCAAGGCATCATCAAACTGAAGTGGTCTAATATACAAATACTTATTGTTCTGTGGATTTTGCCTATGAGAACATTTAAATATAAAGATTACATTATACATCTATTCATAACTCGGGAAAACTCATTTGGTGCCAAAACAGTTGGTATTAAATCGACGTCAAGACTTTTTGTTGCCTCGTCTATGTAGTGCCGTTAACATTGGCATGCTGTTAACTTTAAGTGCGTTTTCTTTTCCTATTGCACGACACATTTGGTACAATAGGTTCGTGTTAGTGAAGTTAACTTCGGCTGTAAAAATCCGTTGGTTAAACAATAAAAAAGCGTCCGTTATTATCGAATTAAATTAAGAGACATTGTCAGGGGTTTTCCTAGGGACAAAGGATACCGCCCATAATAATGAGGTGTCTGTAAAGTGGGTTTCGACTGTAATTCGTTACCTGTTTGAACAGTACCCGCGTTACTCCAATGTATAAGTTTATTTTTATAGAAGAGTGACTTCATTTTTACTGTCTATTTTTGTGGAAGAGTGACATCATTTTTACCCTGATTTTTACTTTACACCAAAGTAATTGAAAGGACATGATCCGTCCATGATATTTTTGTTGGATCGGAAACGTGATAAGGTGGCTTGAAACCTGAGTGACAGCCTCTGGTATTTGTAAGCACCACACCTCTTCACAGCGAATAATTTTGTACTTTTGTTATTTACAGGTGACTTTACATCCCACACACTTCGGCAAATCCAGTTATACGCACGCAGTGAGACCAGCCAAACTGAACTGTCACTGAATTTAAAGAGGACTGCTCAAGAGAAAGGCTTTGTGATTTCTGACAATCAAGGAGAGGGCAACTGCATGTTTTTTGCTCTTTCAGAGCAGCTTGATGTCGTAAAAGGAATGAGGATGTCTCATGAAGAGATACGGCAAACTGTGGTTCATTATCTTATGGAGCACTCTACGCTGGTAAGTTAAATCGTAGCACTAACTTAGCTTTGTGAAAGTTTTTTTGCTAGCAAAACTAACTACGAGAAAACGACTGGAGGACTGACAATTTGACTAACAATAGACGACTGTTTAACTGTGACAAAAGACGGATCAAAACGCACCAATTACTGATTACGAGTCTTCATAGCCAATTACATCACGGCTTAACTGACAGCCGACCAATAACATCACGACGTAATTGACCAATCAGATCAATAACCAGAGTATTATACCATAACTGACGTGATACAACTCACTTTGACTCTGACGATGACTACCGCACAGGTTGTCCAAACGTCAGTCACTGTCAACAACAACAGTCCTATTCAGGACTACGTTCACCCAGATAATCAAACTCAACCCACTTTTAACTTAGCTTTGTTAACGGTATTTTAAAAAATACATGAACACCATCACCATTCCATTCCTTCTGATAAATATTTACGCTCCCAATACCACCACTAAGCAATCGTTGTTCTTCCAAACATTGTCTGAGCTTATCTATGATGAGGGATACAATGATTTTGACTACAAAATTATATTAGGAGGGGATTGGAACGTAACTATGGACCCAGACCTAGATTGTTCGGGTGGAAACCCTGTGTTAAAAGACTCAGTTAAGTGTGTGGAGGACATTATGCTGAATTATGATTTAGTTGACATCTGGAGAATCCGTAATCCTAATAGCAAGAAATTTTCTTGGTGACAAAAAAGCCCAATTATTCAAAGACGCCTTGATTATTGGCTCATTAGTGACCTATTACAAGATGACGTAGCTAAAGTCGACATAGTGACAGCTATAAGAACGGATCACCATGCAATAACTTTAGAAATTGACAGTCTAAATGATCAGCAGCGTGGCCCATCTTTTTGGAAGTTCAATAACAGTCTCTTGGATGACGCTTTTTTCGTTGAGCGTTTACGCGAGAACTTTCCTAAGTGGATAGACGAAATTAATTTTTGTGATGATTCGAGAATTAAATGGGACTGGATGAAATACAAAATTCGCGGGGAAAGTATATCGTATAGCAAACTGAAAGCTAAAGAAAGGAGAAATAGAATTCAAACAATTGAAAACAGGCTTAAAATATGTGAGGAAAAAATAGCAGAATCACCGACGCAAGAAAACCTTGCCAACCTCGAATCGGTCAAAACAGAATACGAACAAGAGTATGATTACATTGTAAGAGGCTCAATCATTCGTTCCCGCGCTACATGGTTTGAACAAGGGGAAAGAAACAAGTATTTTCGAAATCTGGAAAACAGAAATAAGAAAAAAAGCTGCATACGGAAACTTATTCGAGCAAATGGAGAAGAGACTACTCTTCCGGACACTATTATGACTGAAATTCACAGTTTTTATTCTGAACTTTATGACGAAAAGTCGGGAATACAAACTGACTATTCGATTTGTCCTTTTCTGGAAGATACCCTCTCATCTCCTAAGTTAACCGACTCAATGCGGGAAACGTGCGAGGGTCAATTAACATATTCCGAATGTTTCAAGGTTCTGTCTACCTTTAGTAACGATAAAACTCCTGGAAACGATGGGCTCACTATAGAATTTTACAAGTTCTTCTGGTCAGAAATCGGAACATTTCTAGTGGACTCATTAAATTATGCGTATTTTCATGGTGAATTATCACATTCGCAAAAGCAAGCCGTAATAACGTTAATTGAGAAAAAGGACAAAGATAGGAGATGGATTAAAAACTGGAGACCGATTTCTCTGGTAAATGTTGATGTTAAAATTGGCTCAAAAGCTATCGCTAAAAGGCTAGAAAATGTCCTACCACATATTATCCATTGTGACCAGAATGCCTTTGTAAAAGGACGAACAATTTTTGATGCAACTCGTACGATAACCGATGTGTTGGAACTTACTAAAATGCGAGACTACCAAGGTATAATGACTGCAATTGATTTTGAGAAAGCCTTCGATTCTCTAAATTGGAACTTCCTCCACAAATCGCTAGAGTTCTTTGGCTTTGGAGAATCCTTCTTGGGGTGGATCAAGACGTTTTATAATAATATATCAAGTTGTGTTTTCAATAATGGTTTTCCACCCCTCTTTCAATGTTAAACGGGGTGTTCGCCAGGGCGACCCACTCTCGCCATCTCTTTTCATAATAGTACTTGAATTATTGGCATTATCCATACGTAATAACGATCAAATTAAGGGTATTGAGGTGGATGGTTCCGAAATCAAATTAGTTATATTCGCTGATGATATGACATCATTTGTTAGGGACAAATTTTCGCATCGCACCCTTTTTGATACTATCGATCTGTTTAGTACATACTCCGGATTGAAGGTCAACCACGACAAAACGGAAATTCTTCTACTAGGAAATATGGAAGTAAACAGCTCAGAACTAGGTGTTAATGAAATAAGTAAGGCCATAAAGATCCTAGGAGTTCATTTCACCTTTAATCACGCACTGTTTTATAAGCTTAACTTTGAATCAATCGAGAAATCTCTCAGAGGATTGCTGAAGGGCTGGAGCTGGAGAGGTCTTACACTACTTGGAAAAATTCAAGTGATCAAGTCTTTCGCCATACCAAAGATTTTATACAGGGTTGTTCTCATTTCAAATAAAGAAGAGTTTATCAAAAAAATAAATACTTTGCTATATTCCTTTGTTTGGAAGGGAAAAGATAAAGTAAAGCGCAGAGCTTTTATTAACCCTATTGATAAAGGAGGCTTGAAAATGCCCAACATTGAGTCAATGATCTCTGCCCAAAGAATAATTTGTATTAAGAGATATCTCTCCATTGATCCCGCTGGCTGGAAGTTTTTTCTGAATTTTTATCTTAAGAAAGTAGGGGGAAAATTCTTGTTTCATTGCAATTTTAACTACACTAAACTACCGGTAACTCTTCCAGAATTTTACAAAGAATGCATTGTGGCGTGGACCCTTTTAAATGAAGACAACCCCTCCTCATCCCTCTGAAATAGCAAATCAGGTCATATGGAACAACCAGTTCATTTGCATTGAATCAAAGTCAGTCTATAACAGTAGGCTGATTGATCTTGGAATTGTAAAAATTGGAGACCTCTACGACACGTGGGGAGGTTTCAAGTCGAACAAGGAACCATTATATTCAACTCTTTCACCAGTTGAACATTTTCTACTTTTCAGTCTCTTCAATGCTTTTCCTGAAGAATGGCGCAAAATATTAAAAACAAATAAAAACTCTATCTCTTCAAAAACTCATGATCTAATCCAAACTGATTTCAAGTTACGTATTGAAGGGAAAAAAGTCAATTTCCAAAATCTTAAATCAAAGTCATTATATGACAGTTTTGTTTCTAAGATATCCAGTATACCAACAGCGCAAAAGAAATATAACGAAGCTTTCAGCACACACACATTTCAGTTGGACTGGGAAAAGATATATCTACTGCCCTTCAAACAACATTGGATACTAAATTAAGAGAATTCCAATATAAAATATTAAACAGGATCTTATACACGAACAAGATGCTGTTTAAGTTCAAAAAAGTAGATTCTCCCTTGTGCGATTTTTGTGAAAAGGAGTTGGAGACCATAGAACATCTCTTTTTCCATTGTACAAAAGTAAGCATGTTTTGGAATGATTTAAAGTCTGTACTTGATTCTTTTAATATAACTATTAGGTTTGATATCATGAATG